CAACCATTATCCATCCATCCTCCATCCATTCACACACCCCACCCACGCACCCATCCAGCCAACACCCACCCACCCACCCATCCATCCACCCATCCATTCATCATTCCACCCACCCATCCATGCATCCTTCCACACACACACACCCATTATCCATTCATTCATTCATCCACCAATCCACAGCCCATTCTTCATCCATCCAACCTCCATCCATCCATCCACTTTCACTCATCTTCCATCCCACAATCATTTATTGATCATCTTATGTGTGCCACGATCTTCTTTATGCACTGGGAAATAAAGAAAAACAAAACAGGCAAGAAGCCCCCCTCTGGGTGACACCCTCAGAGTTGTGCTAGGTGGGGAGGTTCCGGGACCACCAAGAAGCCTTTGAGGTGACAAGCATGGGAAGAGGTGGAGGCAGTGGACAAGAAGGCAGCAACTGCCCTGGATGGAGGAGCTGCCCCTCCTGTGGGGATTAAGGCCTGTGTCTGGGCCCCTCCAGGCCACCCGCTTCAAAGTGGCAGAGGGGCACTGAGGTGTGGGAGCAGAGCCAGCTCATCACAGGGTGTGGGTGAGGAGGAGCCTGTGTTCACTGCTCTAGCCTGAAAGGAATCAGGAGGTGTTCAGGCCCCTGTGGATTCCCAGGACTGTGGAGTGGCCACACCCCTGCCCTGGAGAAGACTGGGAATCTGGGTGTCCAGGCCAGGAAGGACACCAAAGGTGCACCCTAGGCTGAGTCTGCATGGGAGTGTCCAGAGTGCCAGTCATGCAACGTGGGACAACTCAGTCTTAAAAAGGAGGGAAGTTCTGATATGTGTGACAATATGGCTGAACCTTGAGACATGAGCCAAGTGAGATCAGACAGTCACACAAAAAAAAAAAACAAATCCTGTGTGACTGCACTTCTGTGACGTCCCTGAAGTGGCCAACTCCATGGAGACTGAATGCAGAATCGGGGGTGCTGGGAGCTGGGGAGGGGCAATGAGGAGTGACTGGAGATGAGGCTGCTGACGGCTTCACAGCTGAGTGAATGTGCCCAACGTCACTGAATGCTACACTTAAAAATGGTTAAGATGTTAAATTGTATTTGACCTCATTTATAAAGACCCAGCCTTTGAGCTGTGCACTGTGCATGGAGTGTGGTCCTCAGCCCTACATGCAATGACCCTCTCCTTTACAGTGGTCACATCTACAGAGGCGGGACTAAGGCCAAAAGCCCTCTGATCAGCTCCATCCCAGAGCGAAGCTATGATGCAGCCAGGGTCACTCCAGAACCTGCACACCCACCATCTGCCCACCTGTCGGGGTGGGGAGCCTGGGGCCAGACGCCCGTGCCTCTCCCTTCTAAACATATGATGTGCCCAGCTGTCCACACCCCAGCAGAAGAGAGACAAACTCAGAAATCAAAGCGGTATTTAGAAAATGCAGTTTATTTAATGTGGTGCAGGAAGCATTCCCAACAGTGGGAATATGGAATGCTCCTGGGAAGTAGCTGAGGCTGAGCTGGTTCTTGAAGGACAGATGGGAATTTCTTCTCATGTTTATTTTTATGTTTTGAGAAAAGATCTCACTCTATCACCCAGGCTGGGGTGCAGTGGTGAGATCTTGGCTCACTGCAACCTCCACCTCCTGAGCTCAAGAGATCCTCCTGCCTCAGCCTCCTGAGTAACTGGGACCACAGGAACACACCACCACCATGGTGGGCTAATTTCTTGATGTTCTCATTTTTAAACATTGTAACACTTCTACCACTAATATATAGTCAGTAGACAAAAATTAAAACGTAGAGAAACAGAGAAAAAAAGTTTTAATATTCTCAGATTGCATCACCAAGGGAAAACCACTGTTAATATTTCAGCTGACACTCTTAAAGGTGGACCTGTCAGAATCGTGATAAGCATGCACTCTTGTCACTATGTTCACTGCCTATGCAACATTCCTTTGTAGGCAACACAAATTGCATTTGTTAGCTGTTTTTGTGGCCAGAAGCAGGTCATGGGAGAGGCTCTAGAAAGATCACTGATCAGGACCCAAAGAACCCTGTGGAATCAGAGATCCTGCGTGTGGACACTGGGTGTGGTATCAGGCCTGGACCTAAGAACGGATATAGTGTTTCTAAAATAGCTACAAAAGCCTCTGGGTTAAGATGGCAAATTGAACACACACCCATTCAATGGTGTCCCCTCTGTAAGCTCCACTTCAACCACAATAAAGAGATTTTAAAAGGCATCTACCCATGAGGGTGGGCCTCCTTTCTGAAAGCTGAATTGCTGATGGACCTGGACCTGTGGCAACTGGGTCAGAGACAAGAGAAAGTCCTGACTAGAGAGCAGGAAGGTGATGTTTTACCAGCGTTGTAACCAAGGGAAACTCCAACACTGAGTGCTGGATGTAAGAGTACCTCTAGGATTTGGGGTGCAAGGGTGGCTATGATCAGAAAGGCTAGAGTGAAAGGGGCCTATGACCCGGTTAGATTCCTATCCCCTCCTTATCTTCCCTGAGTGACGACTCCTCCCCAAAGCCAGCAAAAGTCCAGAAGTTTATTTCCCAGAATTCAGGCAGCTGACTTCAAAGACCCCTGCCTTCAACTCCATGTTGACTCTAAGAAGGCTGGCAAGCAGACCCCTCACTCACTCCTTGGGTAACTTCTCTGGTAATCAGGTTGGTTCCTAAAGATAACTGGCATCCAAGGTTCTCAGGATCACCCCCATCCATGAGTCTCAAGGACAATGTACCTCTCCTTTCTTACTTTCAGATCTTCTAGTCAGCTCCTCATCACGAGCAGAAAGCACAGGATGAGCAGATGCCTCAGGAAAGACATAGCGAAACAGACAGAACAAAGCCGATTGGAGGACACACAGATTAAGTGGGCAGCAGAAAGCTCATATAAGTATCAAGTTCCAAAAATAAAGAAGAAAGAAAACAGAGAGTAGGAACCACTAACAAAGCATTTTCTATACCCAGCTCAACTATCCTTCTGGTACTGCAGAAGTCCTAAAATATGTATCTCCTATGCATCTTTTATTAGAATTTTCCAGAAGATATGCTTCACGAAAATGAGAAAGTAATCCAACAAGATATGTAGTCTGTAAAGGTAGCAGGAGATGCAAAGGAATTTCCCTAGAGAATGGCCGTGGGCAGGACATAGAAGGTAGCCGGTCCATATTGGCATGAGTGGCTAAGGAGCCAGATATGTGGACGGCCATCACCACTGTTCTGTGGTCATCACTCTCTCATTCTCACGTAGGTGAGGCAGGCTCAGATTCTTACCACACCCTGAATGTCTTGACCATGGACAGATGAAATCCCCATTTCCTCCACATACTAATTTCTGGTGGCTGCTCTAACAAATTACTACAAACTTAGCAGCTTCAAATAGCACATACTTACTAGATTTTGGTTTTGTGGGGCAGAGGTCTAAAATGGATCTCAGGGTCTTAAAGTCGAAGGCATGGGCAGCACTGCCTCCCTTACTGGAGGCTCTAAAATCCATTTATTTGCCTTTTTTTTTTTTTAGCTTCTACAGTCTGTATTCAAATACTGTGGCTCACGGCCCCTTCCTCTGTCTTCAGAGCCAGCACAGCCAGAGGAATCTTACTCATATTCTCACATTTCTCCTCTCCATCCTGACCCTGACTCCCCTGTCTCCCTCGTCCACTTTCGGAGCCTTGTGACCCTTAAAAGTAGAAGAGAGAGGCAGGAGAATGAGGACATTAAGCCCACTCAGATAATCAGAATCATCTCCCTACTTTAAAGTCAGCAGAGAGTGCAACTTTAATTCCTTAATTTGTCCTCCCACTGACTCTACATGGTTTCACCTCCTCCCCTCCCTGTCCTTCTGCATCAGCCACACTGGTCACTGGAGCCTCAGGGCCTTCACACTGGCTGTTCCCTCTGCCCCACTGCTGTTCCCCCAGACACTCGGATGGCTCCTCATCACTCCCTCATGTCTCTGCCCAAATGTCATCACCTCAGTGAGGCCTTTCTTGAACAACCGATTGAAATTTGTGCCTTTACCTCTCTCCTCCTTTGTGTCCATTGCACTAAAATCATCTAGCCTGGCACATCAGACCCTGATGTATTTTGCTTATTGCTGCTTTCCCCATGAAAACATGAGCTTGATGGGAGCAGTGTCTGTGTCTGTCACTGTGGCAGCCTCAGGGCCTATGGCTGTCCCTGGCACATAGCAAGCATGAAGCGCATTGCATGGACAAATGGAAGCTTCACTGCAGCCTGGTGGACACCTGCCCCTATTAGTAAGCCTGACGTCCCACTGGCTTTCAGCTAATGGTCTCCTGTCAATGCCTGGTGGGTTGGAGCTGGACTCTGGTGTAGCCCATCTGCTCTGGTGTCTTCACCGGCCCCGGGTGCCACCGCCTCTACTGCCACAGCCAGGCAACCACTAACCTGCCTCAGTCTGTGTGGACTGGCCCATCCTGCCCATCTCAAAGAAATGGAATCACACAATGTGTGACCTTCTATGACTGACTTCTTTCATGGAGCATCATGTTTTCAAGGTTCATTCATGCAGCAAGTGTCAGATCTTCATTCCTTTCCATGGTGACATAATATTCTATTGCATGGATATGCAGCATGTGCTGATTTTAATGCTCCTCACATTTCAATTTGGTGAAGCTTCTGCAGATGCGTCATCTGCAGTGAGACTCACTCCAGGTTCTGGGAGACCTGGGAGGATGATAAGCTTCTGCTGAGGCTTGTACAAATTCTTAGGGAAGTTTCAACAGTCTTAATCTCAGACTTATGGTTTAAAAGCAGTCTATGGAGTTCAAAACCATTTTCACCATTTGGACTTGGCTCTGTGGACTGGCCCGGGGAGAAACCGTTCTGATGTCCGGGGCCAGAGTGAGGAAAGACAGCAGCAGGGACGACTGAACGGGTTTTTCCTACTTAGCAAAAAGCGAACCCATCAAAGCAAAATCACTGAACACTGAATGTGACTGGGAAGGCGGCCTTCAATGAATGACATCATTCCATGAACATAAATCTTAGTTTGTATGATTTATTTATGTTAAAAAGTCCACAAATGATGCTGGGTTTTCGATAGCTTTGTTTAAATGATAGTTTTTCCTTTTTAGTGAAAGTTGGAGCAGTGATAAGCAGCTCCAGCTGTAAAAATGAAAGGCGGAGGTGAAGCCGAGGTGATTATTACAGAAAAATGCTAAGTGGGGAGGGGTATTTGGCCCTTCCATCGTCTAAAATGAAAATTACCCTCCGCCACAATGTGCCACGAACAATTATCTGCTGTTTATTAATTAACCTCTTTCAAAAGCACCACATTTCTACAAGAAACTGTTATTTCTCTAATGTGAAAACTGGCTTATTCGTGTTTATTGGAACGACAATGTCCCATGTGGTCCAGGCTTAGTGCACACGTTACTGACACGTATTTTTTTAATGGCATATTTGGTGATTGAAAATACCTTCCCAGAAGAAGCCTCAACACTCAGCACAACTCGCTTGGTGCGTTAGTCCTAACTGAGCCCCCAAAGCCTCTGGCCAGAGCACAGGGTCTCTCCCTGGCCTCAGTAGCTGCAGCGCAGTCCTGGATAACTGCTCTAAGAGTGGGTGCTGGGAAGGAAGGGGGCTCAGGACCTACCAGTGAGAGGCGGGCTCAGGAAATCCAGACTCCAATGGCTGAGTCATTCTGGACCCTGGTCATTGTCAGAAGCACATAGGTGACCGAGAGGCCAGAGTACCCTCTGGGTGGCATGACTGCAGTGGGCTCTCATGGCGCTCGCACTCCTAGCACCTTAGGAGCCCCAGGAAAGGGTCCCAGGCAGAGATGTCTCTGCAGATGAATCTCTGCCACCCTGCACACCTTGGAGGGTGGCAGCCCTGCAGCGCGAGTCCCCTGGGGCTTTGTGGTCGGGGAGCTCTTCCCTGAGTCCCGAATCTGCCTGTAAGGACAGGTCCTTGACTAGGTCACTCAAGCCTCTGAGCATCAGTTTTCTCATCTGTAAGGTGGGCACAGCACAGCACCCACCTCACAGGACTATGAAGGCCACACAGTTCCCAGCTGCAACCCAGGGGTGGGAAATGAGCAGGGCAATGCCCAGCACCCTGTCTGGCGCAGCACCCAGGCCAGGGAGCCTGTGGAAGGACCAGCTTCTCTTCTAGAACTCTCGCTCTGCTCTGCCATGGTCCCTGCCGCCTCCCCCATCCTGCTGGGAACCCCTGAACAAGCCAGCTTCTTTTTTCAAACACAGCGCAAAGGGGCTGGGCAGCTGCCCACTGCTGTGTCTTCATCACACGGTGCTGGCAGCTCACTGAACACAGGGCAGCCCTCTGAGACCTGATGGATGATGAAGCTTACAGAGGGGTGGCTCGGCCTCAGGCACTCAGCACAGTCCCTGCCCCGGGCTGCTGCCTCCAGACCCGCCACAGCCTGCAAGGTCGCCTTCGTCTCCCTGGGTCTTCCCCTGGGCTGAAACTGCCTGGGGAGCCCTGAGGGAAACCTACTCGCTCAGCTCTCTTCATTCAGTTGTGACTCATCCATTCTTTCACTAAGGACAGAGCGCAGCCCAGCCTTGGGCCAGGTTCTGGGGTTTTGGAGACAGTGAGCTGGAAGCTCCAGGTCTGATGGAGGAGACACCTTCCTGCTTCACTCACGCCATAGACTGGAAGCTCCAGGAGCTCCGAGCCTTGCAGCGCCTCCTGCGAGAGCGAAGGAGGGAACGGGTGAATGGAAGCCAAGTTTGGGCTGCAGTTGCCAGGAAACCAGCTGGCCCTCGGACACCCACCGCCACCTGCCACCCCACTGGCAGCACCAGAGTAGGACAAGGTCAGGAGGATGAGACTTGACTGGGAGTTCAGGGGCTCCTGAGCCATCTGTCCTCACACATGGCCCTGACTGGCCCTCTGTGTGTCCAGCCAGGAGGTGGTTACCTTCCAGGGCTCCAGCTCACAGCCTCTGGGAGCAGCCCTGGGTTCTGCAAGAGGGCAGCTGGGAGGGAGAAGGGCTCTCGCCTCTATGGGGACCTGCAGGGCTCCGGGAACCACATGCCACTGGCCTGGGAGCTGTGACCACCATGGGGCCAGGTTCTGCTGCCGTCCACTCTACCTTGGGAAACTGGACTCCCAGGAAGCTGGAGGGGCTGCCCGAGGGTCCCAGGGGTCAGGAGGCAGAAGCTGAGCTGGAGTTTTTCCCGTCTCCCCGCTCCCTGAGCTGCCTGTGGACCCTGGAAGCCCTCCCCTCTTCCCCTCTGCTGAATACCACCTGGGTGTTCCCCTTGTAACTCCCCTGAAGCCATGGGGAGGGGTGTCTCCCCCTCCAGGGAGAGGCTGCTGAAGGCTGGACCTTCCCTGTTTACCCCAGTCCCCAGGGCAGGACCCCAGGTCCTCAAAAAGGTGACCTGTGGGGGCTGCGGGGGGCACTATTCTTCACACAGGGGTGCCCCTGCCACTCAGGGCCCCTGCCTTGATGAGGGGACCCAGGGACCCAAGGTGTGGGGGTGAGGGCTCCCCACAGCTCGGCATCCGGTGAGGGACTGGAGTCCCTGAGTTACCTACGCCCGGCTGCTCTCTCCAGCCCCGGGGGCATGAACGCCGGGGTTCTGGCGGCAGGGCGGGCAGCCCTGTCCCGGGAGGACGCCCGACTGATTCCATCACCTTCGGGTCAGTCTAAAGAATTGGTCATTTTTCCCTGCCTGGGGCAATCCTGGTCTCCGCTCTGGTCTTGCCGGCTCTTTGAGCCATGTCTCCACTGACACCGTGATGACTGGATTAGTAGAAGGCAAAGCACGGAGGGGTAGAGCCTTGGGTGTCCCCCTGGCCACCCCACTCCCCTCCCCTCCTTCCCTAGGTCCGGCCCCGGGAGGTGGGAGGCAGGGAAAGTCTTCTCAGACCACCGCCCCCTGCTCCTGCCACTGCGCCTGCTCTGTCTACACCTAGAGGGGTAGTTTGTTCAGATCCTTAAGTCTCAGCTCGCCAGGCCATGCTGCGGGCCCCGCCCAGATGTGTGGGGACTCAGCTGCCACTGGTTCCAAAAGACCTAGTCCTCAGAGGTGGGCAGAGGGGTGGCACAGTCCCTTCTGCCGGCTTCATCGTGTCTGGGGCGCGGGCCTGGGTCACCACTTTTCCCCCACCTGCTTCCACCCCCGCAGGCCCCTGGCAGCCCCGGCCTCTTCTCCAAATCTCCTCCACCCTCTGCAGGATTTCGGATGCCGGGTGGTGCCATATCAGGTTCAGGTCTGCGTGAAACCTCCGGGGCTTCTGGAAACCCAAAGGGACCTGAGAGGAAAGCCCAGGGTGGGCCAGACCCTGTGCAGCAGGGGTGGGAGGATGGAGCCCCCGGGGTGGAGGAGCTGGGCCTTCTCTCCTCCTTCGCCTAGAGGGGCAGGAGAGTTCCAGGGGCGGCGGGGGAGGGGGAGTGAGGGGAGAGGACCCGGACCTGCCGCTGGCTCTGGAGCCAAGGTGGGGCGCGCCCTCTCCCGAAGGCCTTGACCCGGCCAAGCAAACTAGCAGACGAGGCCCACGGGGTGGGCGGCCTCGGGCCTCCACCTGGCGCCTTCCACCCAGCCACTCTCCCTAGCCAGCCCTGCAATAACCCCCTGGAGGAGGCAGGCGCGCCTGGCCCCATTTCACAGACGGGGAAACCGAGGCGTGGGGAAGAAATCCACCGCAGCTCCGTCTCCACGGTTTCATCTGTGGGGTATTAATCTCGCAGGGTCAAAGGCAAAATTTGGTTTTCAAGCTAAGAGGGCGGATCGAGTGGGGCAGGGAGCGCAGCGGAGGGACGGGAGGAGGGGGCCTTGCAAACCGAATGTGGATTCCGGAACCAGCCGATTAGGGAAACCCGCTTGGTGACCCGGCCGCCGGCCCCTGTCCCGGGCTCTAGGCGTTTGGGGACGCGGAAGGCGGGATCCCACCTGGCGACTCCCGGGAAGCGGCCGCGGGGCCCGGAAGGCTGCGAGGCTCGCTATTTCGTTGCTGCCCGCGCGCGGCCAGAACTGGGAGCTGAAGGCAGCGGCCGCGTCCACGCAGGCAGCGTTCTGGAGCGGGTCCGTGCCACCTCCGCCGCGCGCAGTTCCCCGCCGGCCGCAGGACGCGGGCGCTGTGCGTAACGAAGTTGCTCCTCCCGGGGCGGCGGGCGGCAGGAGGGGACCCAGGCCACGGCTGCGGGCGCGCGTGAACACACGGCTCAGGGCACACCGCAGCGCATCCGGGTAACGACATTCGTTGGCGGTTTTTTAAAGGTTCTGAGATCAACAGGAAAAGCGTGGGAAACCGATTCCCTGTATCCTCCCAGCCGCCGGGACGCTCCCGGTTGCAGACCCCCAGCGGCTCGGCCACTGCAGCTCCCCGGCCCACTGTGGGCCGCACACGGGCGGGAGTCTTTCGGCGCTTCCTGCACCTTCTCAGTGAGCCGGGTTAAGCCTGGATTAAACTCCCTCCTGCCCCACGGGGCAGAAACCCAGGGAGTTCAGGTTCACCATCTCCACCTCTTTAACAAAACAAAACAAAACAAAACAAAACAAAACACTCCGGGGCTCCAGACACCCGGACATCTGCACAATAGAGCCAGGCACCTAGCAGGGATGCGGGACACGAAGCGGGCAAAGGGACTCCACCAGGGCGGCCACAGCATTGTGCCTGCCACTGCCCGGCGGTCCCCCCGGAAGCAGCCCATCTGCAAGAGACAAGGCTCCCCCTGCACTCAGAAGATGTTTCCGTACATCTGGGGTTTGTTGGAAATCAGGGACACGACTGGCATTCCTGGGAATTCTACTCCTCCCAGTTCCCCACTCTGGGAACAGGAATCAGGTATCGGCTTTGGGAGGCTCCCACCTCTGAGCGGCACAGGAACCAAGCCCTGCCACTGCTGGGCCAGACTGGGAACTGTGTCCTGTCCTCTCCAAGAACTCTGGTGCACAGGAAGCTTTCCCAGGCCTGGGTGGGTGGGAGGAAGGTGAAAAGGAGCCCTGAAATATTGACCCCAGAGTCTGGGGGGATTCCTGTGGCCCTGGTATGCGGCTGGGGCATGATGCTGGAGAAAGCGCCCACTTCGGGTCATTTCAGAGGCCTGAATAGGGAAGAAATGGCCTTTCCGGTGGCCTGTTCTCCCCCCACACCCACCATTCTAGACCAAGCACAAGCTCCTTCCCGCATAGAGCCCCCTGCTAGGTGTGGGGTCCAGCAGCCCTCCTCCACGTCCCCTCTGTTTGTGGGAGCCAAGTCAGCCATCCCCAAGGGCTCCTGTGGTCTCCTGCCTCCTGCTGCTCAAGTCTGGGAGACATTCCCACCAAGTAGGGGGCAGGAGAACGTGCAGAGAGCCGCAGCCTCATCCTGGCCTGACTCAGTGGCCCAGGTATTGGGGGTGGGGTGAGTGGGGGCCGTCTGGATCCCTCCTGGGGCATTTCCAATCTCCCAGGAAACCCAGTTGGTAAACTAGCGGCTATGTGCTTCTTTGCTACCTGGAGTTTTTCCTAAAGGAACAAGGTGGGGGTGGGGAGTGAGCAAAACTTGCCCTGGAATTCAATAGCGCCTGAGGCCAAGTGTCTGAAAGACCATGGTCAAGTTCAAAAATGCACAGAGGACCAGGAGGGAAAGGGGTGAGAACGAATGCTAGGTGCCATGCCCACTCCTGTCCTGCACACACAGCCCAAAGCAGGGCTCCCTGGGGTCTGAAGGGCTAGGAGGGGCGGCAGGGGCAGCTCTGACCCTGCCAGTTCACACGGGGCACAAAGCCTGGCCAAGCCAAGGAGCCCTCTAGCCCTGAATGCATTTGTAGACTCTGGGAGTGCAGGGTGGGCCCTATTGGTAGTTTTGCTACTCAGTGGGTTTCTGGGGAACCCCTGGGGCTTGGGGCCCTCCTACATGATGTCTAGTAAGACACTTCCTCCAGCACTGCAGGACCAGCATTTCTAGCTTTTAAGCCTGGCCTTTTCCCTAAGGAATTCACTTGCTCATGGGTCTATGGGCACTGGAAGCACTGGGAGTCTGCAGGACTCATGGGTAAATGCAGTTTCCATGGGTTCCATTTCTGCCCAGACCCCAGCAGAAGGCGGAGGTAAAAGCCCCTCTCTAGTCTCCTAGGCCCCAGCTATGAAGGTCACTGGGAATGAGCTCACAGCACTTACAGTCCCAGCACAGAGGTCCCAGGACCTGGCATCAGCCCCAAGGCTCTGCAGAGCTAGACTTGGTTTGAAAACTGCCCTCAAACCTTTTACTATCAAACTTTGCCCCACTGGGCCTCCGCTTGCCCTACTTGTTACCCAAGCTCCCCAAAGCCCTTGCCAGGCAGGGACACAGAACTGCACCCCAGGGAGGACCTGCATCTGCCCTTCCCCGCTTCACCCTTTCTCCCCACGGGACTCTTCAACAAGGCCTGACCTGCTCTCCGCTTCTAAGTGTGGCCACGCGGGGGCAGGGCCTGGTCAGGCCAGGACGAAACCTCAGCCAGGGCCATGGCCTTGGGAACAGCCTGCCTGGGCTCCTCCAGCAGACTGGGAGACACTGGAGCCAGAGCTGCTTGGTTGGGCACCTTTCAGGTGGGCAGCTCGGCCATCTCCCTGGCCAGCCTTGACCAGCAGCTACCCCTCCCCTGGCAGAACCGGAGAAGCAGTGACCCCATCCCTACCCCACAGCCTGGCGAAGAGCAGGGACCAGGCGGCACAGACCAGCTTGCTCCCATGCCTCCTGCCCTTCTTCCCTAGGCCCTGGCAACAGTGCCAGGGATGGCTGTCCTGCCCTAGCCTGGCCAGGGTTCTGAGAATCACCTCCTGAGCTGGAGGAGTGGGCAGGGAGAGGGACCGAGAGAGCTGGGGCACCCCAAGAGCACCAGGGATACGAAAGCTTGGCATCCATTGGCAACCTCCAGGGCAAGGGAAAAGGAGGCCTTTGCTGGGCTGCAGGGTGAGGATGGGGTAGAGACCCTCTCTGCAGGTGGGAGTGCTTTGCAGGCACCATAGTAACTACCCCAGGCCTCCTCTGGAGTCCCTGGAGGCTTCAGGCAGGAGTAGGCAGGGACCTGGGGTGCCCAGTATGGGAGTGACTTTGAGTCCTTTGTAGCCAGCAGCTCCAGCCAGGCTGGGCCCACGGTTGGAAGCCTGCCCTTGGCGGGGTTTAGGCAGGACAGTGCCTGTGTTCCTGGGCTCAAGCACCTCCCCCACACTCGGGTGAGCAGGTTCAGGGCCCGCCTTGGCCATCCAGGACTTCAGTGGTGCCCCAGCCTGAGAGGCAGAGCAAGACCCCCAGAGCTGGGCCGGGCGCTAAACACAGCTGTTCTGTGGTCCAGCCCCTGTCGAAAGATGGTCAGGGTGTGGGGAGGTCCATAGACCCTCGGAAGGATGGCGGGGACCAGGGCTGTGCCATTGCTGACGGCCCTTCTCTGGAGGACACTCACCTTTTGCCAGAAACAGCCGCAGCGGCGACTAGGGAGCGCTTCCTCCGGCAGGGGCTCCGGTGGCGGCGAGCTGGCTGTAGGACTGGGCACCCTGGACCCCTGGGAGCCGCATCGGGGTTCGAATCCGAGCAGGCAAGCAGTGCCGACTGCGGAGGATCCAAGGCAGAAGGCCCGGCGCACACCGCCGCTGCCGGCTGCGGCCAAGCCTGGCTCCGCTGGGCTTTTCCTCTGGGGTAGCGCCGACCCCGCGCCCCTCCGCATCCGAGGCGCCTCTGCTAAGACACCGGGGTCTCGGGGGTTCTCAGGGCCGCTGCGTTTCGCCTCCTTTAACGCAGAGGCGTGGAGTTGCACGTGTGGGTCTCAGTGGAGCCGCCACAGGTCTCATTACACAACAAAGGGCAGGGAGGGCACGGCAGGAGCCTAGCGGGGCGGCGGAGAGACCCCCCGCACCGCGGGCGCAAGCCCTGCTCCGGGCTCAGGCTGACGCTGCGGCAGCTCCCGGTCCCGTGGCCGGGCAGGACTTCGGTGCTCTAGGAGGGCGCGCGGGGCAGCGACTCGGCCAGGGCAGCGCCTCCGTTCCCTTCTAGTTCATTCCGGATTCCCAGATTCTCAGATGAGCAATCCGCACTCCGGCCGCCAGGCTCCTGGGCCGGGGCCACCCTGCCTGTACCCAGCCCGGCCCCTCCTCCGCGGCGCCTCGGACTTTGGGGGCTACAGGGGCAGAGGAAGCGCCTGGTCGGCTCCCGCCCGCGCTGCTCCACCTGCGCTGCCTGCCCTTCCGCCCCCTACGCACCTGGCCCAGAGGGGAGCGTTCCCAGAGGCCTGGGTCCCCGAAGGTGGCCCAGCTCGAGCCCTCGCGCAGCCAGTCACTCACCTGGGGGCGCGGCGGAGCCCGACGGGGGTGCAGCGGCAGGAGCGCGCGGGCGGGGACGATCCGCCAAGGACGCCCGGTGTTCGGACCGCCGCCCCCGCGCTGTGCCCCCGCGCTGGGCGTGTCGGCCTCCGCAGCTCCGCGCAAGACCGAGGGCGGCGGGTCCGAGGGCCGCCCGCCGGCCTGGGCAGTGGCGGAGCGCGGAGCTGGCGGCGCCTCCGCTGTTGTTTTTGAGCCGCGAAGCCCGAAGCAGCAGCCGTTGGGTGGGGGAGAAGGGGAGGAGGCGGGGGCCGGGGGGCCCGAGGGGGGCGGCGGGGCCTGGAGGGGGCTTCGGAGGAGCCGGGTTCTGGCGCGCGAACCCCGACGCCCCCTCCGGCGATCGCAGGGCGGGGACGGGGGCCGAGGGCAGAGAGAGGACGGGAGAAAAGCGGGCCGGGGCGACGGGGAACGCCAAGCTTTTTAATTAGTCATAAAACGCAGTAAAACGCAGCGAAACCCGCCCGGACCCGCGTCCGAACTCTCGGCGCGCGTGCCCCGAGATCCGAGGAAGTCGCGTGGAAAACCGCAGCCACCACCCCGTCTTCGGTCCCGGCTGGGGCGGGAGCCGCAGCGCGACGCGACCCGAGGCAGGGGCAGGGTGGGGGGATAGTCACCTTGCCTCCGGGGCCACCTGGGTCCTTTTAAAGTGTCCGGGGTGCGGGCCCCGGGCGGGAGCGCCCAGCACGGAATGTTTTCTTAAAGGGCCAGTTACGAGCTGCGCTGAAAAGGGGGGCAGAGGGGGGGAGAGAGAAGTGAGACGGAGACCGGGAAGGCCGAGGAGAGCCCCCCAATCCCGCGCCGAGGCGGCGGCGGCGGCGGCGGCGGCGCGACGATGAGGATGATGAATACATTGCAAAGTTTTTTTGGCCCCGGCGAGGGGTGTCAGATTGAGTGCTCTGTGCGCATGTGCGAAGGTGTCCAAACTGACAATGCTGGGGAGATGAAGATAGTGTGTGGCTGCTTCTGGACTCAAGGAGGAGGAGAGGGATTCCGCGAGCCGACACCATGCGATCCAAGGCGAGGGCGAGGAAGCTAGCCAAAAGTAAGTCTCCCGCGCTCGGCCGCGCCGCGCCGCCGGGCCAGGGCCGCCGGGCCGGGGCGCCCGGGCCAGGGGTGCGCGTCGGGGCGCGGCCCGCGCGCCTGCGGCTCGGGGCCCCCGGCTCGGCCGCGCGGCCCGGGGGGCTGCTCCGCCTCCCGCGCTCCGGGACGACCGGGCCCGGCGCGGAGGCTCGGGGCGCCCGGGCCGCGCGCTCCCCGAAGGCGCCGGCCCCCTCCCCGCCGAACCCCCTCCCCCCCCAACAGTGTCAGGCGCTCGGGCCCGGGAACCCGAGGCGCGCGGTGGGGGCCGGGGAGGGGGGCGGAGGGGGAGGGCCGGGGGTGGAGGGGAGCGCAAAGCGAAAGTTAGCGAAAAGTTGACGAAAGGGGAGAGCAACTTTTTCCTCCCCGCTCGCTCTCTCCCTCTCTCTCTCCCAGTGGCTCTCAGTCCTGGTCAAATCATATTCCGGGCTTTTGAAATAGTGGGCGCTAGAGCACCGCCTTTGGCGTCCGCCAGCCGGGCGCAGAGGAGGGAGACCCCGAGCCGGGGAGGGGCGGAGGAGGGGGCGCGGGCCGGCGCCCACCCGGCTCCGCGGGCGCAGGGGCAGGGGCGGCGACGGCAGAAACGGCCGCAGCCGCTTGGGGAGCAAAATGGAGACTTTTGCCCGGGCTGGGAACTGCGGCCGTGAAGTTTATGCCCCGGCGGTGCCCCGCGTGGTGGTGGAGGGCGCTCCTCGGGGACGCGGGCAGCCCGCGCGGGTAGCCGAGGTGGCCGTGCCTCCGACAGGAGGGTCCCCACCCGCCACCTCCCGACCCGCCGCGGCCGCCCTCAGGCCCGCGCGGAGCCCTCCGCACCCGCTCGCCTGGCACAGCCCAGCCCGGCGGCGACTGTCCCCGGCCGCACTGCCCGGTCCTCAGTCTTACTTTCTCTTTCGCTCCGTCTCGGCCGAGCCCCGGGCTCCGCGCGCCCTGCCTGCCGCCAGCCGGTCCCTCCCGCGAGCCGGGTGCTCCCGCCGCCCGCGCCCTCGCCCGCCGCAGCCGCGCCTCCGAGCAGCCCGCGCGCACCCCGCGCCCCGGCCGCCGGCGCCATCCGCTGTGGGCCCGCGGTGCCCCGGGCTGCGGCCGCCGAGGCGGGCAGGTGGGGGCGGGCGGCGCTGCGGCCCGGCGAGCGCGGCTCCCGCAGCCCCGCGGATGCCCCGGCTGCAGCGAAGCGGCCAGCGCCGCGCGAAGCGGCATCGCCGCCGCCCGCTCCAGCCGCCCCCTCCTCCGCAGGCCGCCCGCCCACCCGCGGCAGAGGCGGCCGGGCCGCTCCCCTCGAGGTCCCCGCCCGACCCACGCCGTTCCGTCCGCGCCTCCGAGGCCGGGTCCCGCCAGGCCGGCCTCGCGGCCATCCAGGGCCGAACCCACAAGCGTGAGCCGGGGTGAGCGCGGGGCTGGCGGCGGTTTCCCGAAGCTCCACTCCCTCGGCTCGGGACCCGCCCGGCTTGTCCCAACAGCGGCCCCGCAGCCGTAGGCCCCTCACTGGGAAAAGCAGCTCCGAGTTGTTCCGGACGCCCCTGTGCTCCGCGGTCGGCCGCGCGCGGCCCCTCGGTGAGGCGCCCCCTCCCCGCCGGGCTCCGCTGCCGGGTGCCCTTGGCCTCGGCCTCCCGTGACCTCTGACCCCTCTTGGTGCGAACAAGGCCGGGCGTTTCGCCGCCGCCGCGCAGGGGCTGTCTGTGCAGGGCGCTGCGGGCCTCCGCGCGTGGGGTGTGCGTGTGCGTGTTCGGGTTCGGTTCTGCGTGTGCACTGCGGGCCTTCTCAGAGTCTGGACCACCGGGCTGCATGCGGGCCGCTAGGTCAGGCCCTCACCCCGGCAGGGCCCGAAGCTGGAGCGAGAAAGTGGAAAGCCGCTGCGCTGTCGCCGGGCCTTCGCTGCAAGCGAGAGGCCGACTCGGCGCACCCGCGCGGCCCCGGAAACTTCCGAGAGGCCCCTGGGCGCCGAGCGCCCGCCTGGCCCCAGCTCCCCGCCGGACCCACCTCTGCCAGGTGGGGAGAGTTGCCGGGGACCGGGTCTGCTCAGGACCAGAACTGGTGCCTGGCGGCCGCCTGGTTACCTAGCCCGGAGGCCGGAGAGCGGGGCCCAGCAGGAGCGCCGAGCGCTGGCTTCCTTTTCCCGAGAGTCTTTAGTGAGGAAAACCCCATGGGAGGTGACTGCCAGGCCTCGGCCCTGCATCCACACTTGGCTGAGCCCTGGGAACCCCTCCTTCCGGGCTCCACAGCTGGGACCGCTGTCCCCAGGGCCCACCAAGGTGGCTGAGCCAGGTTCAGGATCACACTGCTTGCCCTGAGCAAGGCAGGATCCGCCGAAGAATTTCATTTCATCAGGCGATATTTTAAGCAGATGTTAACTTCCCCCGGGACGACAGTCACTACTACCTGAATTGGAGGCAGTAGGGCCAGCACTCCAGCCCTCCCCACAATACGGACCAGGTCAGGGGCCTGCGGGGTGGGGTAGGGGCAAGGTCACGGTTACCAGGCTGGTGTTCAGGCTGGGCACAGGAAAAACCAGGCCAGTGGAGGTGACCCCATGACCCAGCGTTTTGGGGGCCACCCCCGCTTGTGCATCTGGGGCTGTAATTTCGTTTGTGTTTCTCTGGAGACCCCCATCCAGGCCTCAGCTCAAGTGGGTCGCTCCTCCTGGTCCTGTGAGGGGCTGAATGGTAGCAGCTGCCAGACTGACCAGAGCTTCCAGCTGAGCTTTCCAAGGACAGAGGTGGCCACTGGGGTACTCAGGCCGGGGCTGTGGCTCAGCTGATGGGAAACCCACAGCCTCCTCCAGCCGAGCCTGGGAGCCAGGAGCAGAATATGGACAGTTCAAGGGACAGAGTCCCCCCAACTGAAGCCAGCTCCGTGCAGGCCGGTGGGGAAGTAGCCGAGGTGGCCCCACATTTACAAACTAAACGCCTAACAAAAGCTCATTGTTTCCAGGGCTGTTGTGATTCAGGTGGGCAGATGGGGTGTTAGCACCACCAAGGTGCCCTCCCGACTGCTGGGTGGGGGGGCCTCTGTGCAGGTGGAAGATGTGGCCTGGGAGAGGGTCGCAGCCAGCGCCCCCATCAGAGCTACCCCTTGAGGCCTGAGCCCCACCTAGGTGACAGACCCGGTCCTAGATGCTGCCTACCCCAGGGCTGGGGGAGTGTCAGGTCCACACCTGCCATCTAGCCCCTGGGGCGGGGGAGCAGCAGCCCCCGCTGTGGGGACTGCAAGTGTCTTGCTTGTGTTTGAGGGTGCTGTGTGTGGAAGGTGTGCTTGAGACAGGGTAGAGGTGAGTGGGTCTGGAGGCCCAGCTCACAGCCTCTTTCCTTCTTCCTGCAGAAACATGCCAGGCTGGCTGGGCCCTCCCTTCTCCCACCCTCCCTGGGGAAATTAGCCCCTAACACCAGTCCTCTCCCCAGACCCAGGACGGCTGCCTTCTGTCAGGAGGCCGGTTAGAGCTGCAGCGCCAGGAAGCGTCCGGCGGGAGTCCAGCGTCTTGCCCCGCTTCGGACGAAAACACAGAGGCTGCGGTGGAGAGTGGAGGGGTGGAGTGCAGGGCTGGCCGCCAGGGCCTGGTGCCCCGCTGCAGTGGACTGTGTCACCACAGGCCCTCCCTCTGCTCCCGGCGGGCAGGTGTGCGGTGGCTTGGAAGCTGGCAGGAGGGGGCTTGCCAAGCTGGCTTGTGGAGCAACTGCTGGGTGGGCTTCTTGGGGACAGGCACTGGCCTTGCCCTGGGCTGGCCGACCACCAGACTCCTACCCGGGCCGCCCTCCTTGTCCTGTGAGTGGCTCTCCAGAGCAGGTGGCACTCAGCCTCCTGGCCCCTCCTGGCCCCAAGGCTTCCTCGGCTCCTGAGTCCTCCTCTGGGCAGTGCGCGGGGCAGGGGACCAGGTCTGCCGTTTTTGCTGGGAGGTTGGGTGACGGTGGCCGGGCAGCCAGGGGCTCCCCCGACCAGGCCCCTCAGGGGAGGCCAGGCTGGTGGCAGCTCGCTGGGCCGCGGAGGGCCCGATTAGCCCCCTGTTTTATTCAATTAGGAGGCAATTAGGGATCCTTGGGGGGCTGGGGTTGGTAATTAAGGTGATGTATAATTAGAGTTTCAACAAAAATTATCCAGGATTAAAAATCTTTTGAATAATTTCGTTTAAAAATTTCAAATAGCGTTAAATACAATTTATCAGGTTTTGAATCAAACCCGTGTAACAAGTCTTGGAAGGCGCAGCGCCCGTCGCCGGCGCGGGAGGACCGGGAGCAGCTCGGGCGACTTCCCCGTGCGGGAAAGAAACTTCGCAGCGAAGCCAGCTGGCTGGGGCCTCGCCGTGGTGCAGCGGCGGCCGCGGGCGCAGACTCGGGCGGCCGAGGACTGCGGACTGCGCGGGCCGGGTCGGGGAGCGGGGCCTGGGGGCCCCGGGCCGGCCAGTGGTCGCGGCCGACTTCCCGCTCCCGGCGCACAAAGTCGCGGCCAACTACCGCGCCGCGCGAGCAGTGCCCGCGTCTCCACCGCGCAGCCTGCGCCCCAGACCCTGGCCCGGCGGGAGCAGCACCCGCCCCTCTAGAGCCCCAGCTTGAACCCCAGGGTCCCTCCTCCTGGCCTCCCTGGCGGAGAAGGGCGGCCTCTGCGTTCTGAACCCTGGACCCTCGGCCTCGTGCGGGACCCCGTGGGCGCCAGCCCCCCCGCTCGCGCCGCTTGCCTGTGGCATCCCCGACCTGCACCCGGAGAGACCGGGAGTGCGCGCCGCCTGGGTTTAGGTAGGAGCTGTGTGGGGAGGGAAGACGGTGCAGAGAAACCGAGGCAGAGGGTGGGAGCCCAGATTTCGAGGGCAGACCCGCCTGCACAGCTTCGCGGAGAAGGTAGATCCAGTCTGATCCGCAGCCCCGGCCCCCTCGGAGACCCGCAGGACTTTTTAAAGATGTCCCAGTGCACCTGGGAGACCAGACCCCTCCTCCCTTCTCTGACCCTG